CCATCATGAGGGCCTGGATTCTCCTAGAATTTAGAGGAAGACCAGATTTGGATATAGTTTATTCGACCCTGCCGAGTCTCCTGTTAAAGTTTGATCCTCGATGTTGGGTTACGGGTCCAGATCCCTAGGAATGGCTTGGTGCCATCCTCACAGGAGTGAGTTCTCATTTAGTTCCCACGAGAACCGATGTTGAAAAGAGCCTGGCATCTCTTCCTTTTTCTCTTGTTTCTGCTGTCTTGCTATGTGCTCTCTGCACACCTGGGTCCCCTTCACCTTCCATTCAGAGTGGAAACAACCTGATTCCCTCAGTAGAAGCAGATGTTGGTGCCATGCTTCTTGTACAGCCTGCAGAACTGTGAACCAAATAAATCTCTTTTCTTTATAAATCACCCAATCTCAGGTGTTCCTCAACAGCAACACAAACATACCAAGACACCAGGTAAAAGAGAGATTTGTGTTCATTCCAACTCGTCAATACTCTGATAATACAGAATATTAAGGGAGCTCTGAGTGGGCTTGAGAAAAGGGAGAGTAGGAGGCATTTGGACAGAACTGCAGGGGTCACAGATTTCTGGGTGTCCGAGTTTTCAGCAGCTGAAGAAATGAAACCTTCATCTTTCTGCAGCATGGGCTTCATTAAGTGCATGGGCTTCAGTGGGTCCGCCTAAGATTTCTAGATGTCCAGCTTTCCAGCACTTGAAGAAGTGAAACCTTCTTCATCTTCCTGCAATATACCTTCTATAGGTATACCTTAGGTGCTGTGCACACTTTTCTTGATACTATCACTACGTATACAAGTCACCAATCAGGAAGAGTTCTCAAGTTGGGGCCAAGACCAAGATATACAACTCAGACTTGAAGGCCTCTCCTTGAAACTGGTTCTTAGCTTTTAAACAAAAAAAATATAGCTCTCTGAATCTCTTTGTGATATAATTTAACCCAAAGACTCTCATCTCTGGAAAAATACACATACATGCAACATTATTTATAATTTAAGGCACTTCACAGACACACTTCTCAAAGTCCTAGGGATCTGCGGACTCCCTGTTACAAGCTGCCACCATAGAACCATTTTATCTGGCTCAAATTGCTTTCAGGCCTTTCAAAACAAAACAAAATCATTCCAGAGGAGCCCAGCAGAAGGAAGCCAGGCACTGTGGCTTTTACTGACCCTGAACTGATAATTCCTTATTTCCGTTTTCAGCAAAGTGGAGGATACCTCCTTCCCTTTTCTGAGAATCCCTCCCCTCCCTCTTCCCCCAACAAAACAGACGCATGGGCATAAAACCAAAACAGCCCAACACCAAACCGCAGGCTGCAGCTCCGCAGGGGCCCCAGGCTGATTGCAGCGTTATCCTTGTGAACCAGGCCTCTCACAAACAAGACACGGACGCATACCAAGTTTGTGTCTGCTGACTGAAGGCAGGGGCATGTGGGCGTCTCCAACTGCCAGGGACAGCCACAAGGAACTGGGACACACTGGGTGGGCTTGGCACAGCGTAAAAGTCAATGTCTGTTGACTGAGGCCTGGCTGCTTTGGTAGAGTAGAATCTGGGGTTTTGATACATGAAATCCCCTACTTTTAAAGTAAATTCTAGATGTGGAGAGCAGGTATGTTATCAAGTGTCACAACTTGCAGGACAAAAGAATTCTCACATTATAAAATGTGAGCAAATGAGCACCTTTCAATGGTGACAACTCATTCATCCCCACTCTCCTAGTTTATTTCCTTCTTTTACATTTATTTTTCCAAATGGGGCACGGTGACTCATGCCTGTAATCCCAGCACTTTGGAAGGCCGAGGCAGGCGAATCACTTGAAGTCAGGAGTTAGAGACCAGCCTAGCAAACATGGTGAAACCCCATCTCTACTAAAACTGCAAAAATTAGCTGGGAGTGGTGGCTCACGCTTGTAACCCCAACTATTCAGGAGAGTGAGGCGGGAGAATCACTTGAATATGGGAAGCAGAGGTTGCAGTGAGCCGAGATCATGCTGCTGCACTGCAGCCTGGGCGACAAAGCAAGATTCTGTATCAAAAAAAAATTATTTTTCTGATTTCTGTTTTTATCATAAATAGAATACACTCTCACTAAAAAAACTGGAAAATACAGAAAAGTATAATCACTGGGTACTTCTAAAATGATTTGATTTTTAAAATTCCATCGGCATGAATTTCTTCAACTTCTCAGGGACACTTCCATTGTTTAAAGGTAAGGCATTCCTTGTAGGGGGAGGAGAGACTGTCACCACAGACAAATGGGACAGGATCCTTTGACCTTATGACTTCCTGGGCTCTCATCTCAGAATGATGTATTCTATTGTTTTTTTCAAGCTGATGTAAATTTCCCACCATTTATGCCTATTCTCTTTACTTCCTCAACCTGAAAGACCAAAAGAAAAATTTAATCACTGGAAGCTCCTATTAATGTTTTAATATTTCCTATTAATGTTTCTGCTATGTTGTTTCTGAAGTTTTTACTTTCAGTCCTCACATCATCCACACCCATCTAGAGACGGTTTCTCAAAAACCATAGTAGGGATTTAGAAACACACCACACTGTTAAATACAGTTGGTCCCGACACCACTAATAGCAGTATTTCTTTTGGTAGACGTCTCACTGACAGTAACTCTTGCAAAACAGAAAAGCCACAAATTCAAAGCATATAAACCATAAATGCAAACAGAGCAGACATACTAATCAGAGGATGGAGTGACAAGACTTCAGAATGTGATTCGCCATATCTCTGGGTTTTTATTTAGCTTTCAGGGTGAAGAGTTTTTTAGAAACACATTCAGATTATTATTACTTGCCGAGTGAAATAAAATGGAGTAGAGGAATTTTCCAACCAAGTGTAAAACTTAGATTTAACATAGCAAAGAAGACTGGGCTCAGTGGCTTACCCCTGAAATCCCACCACTTTGGGAGGCTGAGGTGGGTGGATCACTTGAGGTCAGGAGTTCGAGACCAGCCTAGCCAACACAGTGAAACTCCATCTCCACTAAAAACACAAAATTAGCCGGGCATGGTGGCCCATCCCTGTAATCCCAGCTACTTGGGAGGCTTAGGCAGGAGAATTGCTTAAACCCGGGAGGCAGAGGTTGCAGTGAGCCAAGATCGCATCACTGCACTCCAGCCTGGGCAACAGATTGAAACTCTGACATTAAAAAAAAAAAAAAAAAAAAAAAAAGGAGAAAAGCTCAGTTAGTATCTTAGGGAAGAATGAGAGAACCTTCTTACCTGGCTCATGGTAGCAAAGAGCAAACATGAGGTTATTATACATAATACTGAAACACTGTCATCCAGTGGTACCCCTTTTGTTCTGTGTTTGTTTTCTTTATCTCTGAATGCTTGAGCATCTGTGATTTTTGTAGCAATTAGCACATATAGAGGCCAGATCTGATCACTGGATGTAGTGTTTCAATTACTGTACAGAGAAAACATAAGTAGCTGGCATATATGTGTGTTTATTGTAGTATCTCCCTGACCTCTTTCTGGTCTTTTTTTTTAAAAAAGAAGAAAAACAGTGGCAATATGAGTTGAATAGTTGAATTAAAATGTGGATTCCAACTTAGGGAAAATTCAAAGGGCTTTAAACCTGCGTGACTGTCACTACTCTCCACTTTTAACAAATTTACATGAACGGTGAGAATCTTTCAAGAGATAAAGTGGTGAACAGCTTCATAGCGTCAGTGTAGCACTTACTGAGCCTTCACGTCTATGAGACGGGCATTTTTAACCACCAGTTCTCAACTCATAGGCAAAGAAAATGAGTCTCAGAGACTAAGTAAGTTGCCCAAGGGCAGAAAGATAGTAAGAGGTGAAATGGTATCTGACTCTAGTCTTAACTCAGTCACTTAACCATGGCATTATAGAGCTCAAATGATAAAACCACCCAAAGAAAATGCCAATAAGTCCATACCTCATTTTATACTGGCAAAGTGAAGAAAAGCACAAACTAGAAAACTCAAGCCCAGCTTGGATTTCCCACTGGAGCTAGCATGTCCCCTGATTCAACCCTAGGACTCCTTCTCCAACAGTTAAATACCTTCATTCCTTCACAGCTTTAGAGTCCATCTGTAAGCTAGGGACCCCCACACGGATGCTTCTGGCCTTGACTTCTCAATTGACTTTTCCTGGTGCTCACTGAACATCTTCGCTTCAACACCTTTCAAGACTCTCAAATCCAGATTTGACCAGCGATTCTCCCTCCCCTGAAACTATTGTGGCAGAAGCCCTGCCCAACCAAGATGATGGCACTCTACCTTTCCAGTCCCCCCGGCCGAAAACATCGAGTTATCCAACCTTGACCTCTCTTTTCCTCTGACACAGTTTCTCTCACGTTCATTTTACAAAAAGGCAGTTTACCAACATACTTCTCACGTGAATCTTTAAAATGGCTAGTTTCAGGCCGGGCGCGGTGGCTCAAGCCTGTAATCCCAGCACTGTGGGAGGCCGAGGCGGGTGGATCACGAGGTCAAGAGATCGAGACCATCCTGGTCAACATGGTGAAACCCCGTCTCTACTAAAAATACAAAACATTAGCTGGGCATGGTGGCGCGTGCCTGTAATCCCAGTTACTCAGGAGGTTGAGGCAGGAGAATTGCCTGAACCGGGGAGGCGGAGGTTGCGGTGAGCCGAGATCGCACCATTGCACTCCAGCCTGGGTAACAAGAGTGAAACTCCGTCAAAAAAAAAAAAAAAAAAAAAAATGGCTAGTTTCCCTAGTACACTTCATAAGATTTCATTTGAGTGTATTTCACCGTATCTTAACTGAGGTAGTCAGTTAAGTACCATGATGTCCACCTACCACTTTATTTTTATGTGCTATTTGATAAACACTTATGTGATACTTCTCATCTCTCAGACACTAATATCAAAGTGCTTTACTGCTCATTTAATTAAATAATCATATAATCCTCATAACCCTATGAAGTAGGCTCTGCTATTACCCTCTCAGTTTACAAGGAAACTGAGGCTCAAGGAAATTAAATAACTTACCTGAAACTGCACAATTCAAACCCAGGCAGTCTGGCTCCAAAGTCTGTTCTCGTAACCACTTCACCATGTTCCATCCATGAGATGTGCTTTTTTGCCTTGTGAGTTGTTTTCCTATGAGTAGAAACATATATAAATGAACCTGCACTCTTATCTGGCTTTCTTATGGCCAAGACCGACCTCTGCAAAGTGCCTGACATTTCTGGGTGCATATTCTGTACACCCTTCATGGGAAAAGGGCAACCAAATGACAGAATGTCACAAGTCACCCAGATCAGAGTCTGACATGCGACAGCAAACAACTCTGAGTCCTCGGGACTGCCTCCCCAAGGCCTGCTCAGGCATCGGGAACTTAAAATCAACCAGAAGCAGAGCATGTGCACTCCAGGGTGCCTGAGTGTGATGGATGGCACAGCTGGAGGCGCCAGCTGTGTTGCAGACAGCACAGCCCTGCCTGTGTCAATTAGGTTGATGGGTGGTGACTGAGAAACATGCGGGGATTTACTCAAATAGATCCTCACTCCCTAACTAGCTGCCTTTCCAGAGATCGTAACAAAAATAATAAGTATTAGAGAGTAATAAAAAAAAAAGAAAGAGAGAGAGAAAGAAGTGTGCTTTGACTGCCCTGCTGATACTGTGAACTGACCCTGCAAAAACAAAAGGAGTCACAAAAAAAAAAAAAAAAAAGCCGGGCGCGGTGGCTCAAGCCTGTAATCCCAGCACTTTGGGAGGCCGAGGCGGGTGGATCACGAGGTCAAGAGATCGAGACCATCCTGGTCAACATGGTGAAACCCCGTCACTACCAAAAATACAAAAAATTAGCTGGGCATGGTGGTGCGTGCCTGTAATCCCAGCTACTCAGGAGGCTGAGGCAGGAGAATTGCCTGAACCCAGGAGGCGGAGGTTGCGGTGAGCCGAGATCGTGCCATTGCACTCCAGCCTGGGTAACATGATTGAAACTCCGTCTCAAAAAAAAAAAAAAGGAGTTTTCCTCCTACCAGGCATTTCCCAGGGTGTGGCCAGAGTGGACAGATAGCCCCTGTTAACTCTTGAGAGCACATTGCCTTTTGCTTCCAGATAACACAGTGACTCAGGGCATAGATTCTAGATCTAAGAGATTAAGAGAGGTAGGTTTAAAGCCCAGCTCCATTACAACCTTTGACAAAGTCCTTAGCCCCAGCCTCTGTTTTTCTCTGGTATAAAATGAGATGCTACTCCTCCAGACCTTACAGTGTTGAGTTGCAAATCAAGAAAGGTAACATAGTATCAGGGTTCAGCAGAGGAGGTAAAATGCAATTCATGATAGCTATTGACAGTGTTTTTTATAATTTCAGCAACCATAAAAGTTTTCTACCCTTCAACTGTTCCGAAATCTGAAGTGGAGGGAAATGTAGGGACATGGAATGAATCCAGAAAAAATATGAGTATTTTATGTTTGGCAAGGATGAGGAAATACACAATTAAAACGTATTTTTGACAGCTCTGAGTTCACATAATAACATTTAAACAACATATAACTGGATGTGTCTACCAAATATGGATCACCCCAGCTTTATCCACTTAACCATGGCATTATCATTATTCTCTTTTAAAAGCTTAAGAAAAATGGGCCGGGCATGGCGACTCACACCTGTAATCCCAGCACTTTGGGAGGCCAAGGTGGGTGGGTTGCTTAAGGCCAGGAGTTTGAGACCAGCCTTGCAACATGGCCAAACCTTGTCTCTACTAAAAATTCAAAAAGTAGGCAGCTTCCCTGTAGTCCCAGCTACTTGCAAAGTTGAGACATGAGAATCACTTGAACCCAGGAGGCAGAGGCTGCAATCAGCTGAGATCCTGCCACTGCACTCCAGCCTGGGCAACACAGTGACACTGTCTCAAAAAAAAAAAAAAAAAAAAAAGCTTAAGACAAATGTTTTTGGTTTCTAAGGCAAACAGTGAAATAAAGTCTGTTTTCATTTAAAGTATCCCATTTGGTTTTTTTAAACCAGTTAGCTAACTTCAAAAGGCAGCCAATGGAGGGATTCTATCAAGCTGGCAAGGGTCTAATGTCTAAATCCAAAGTTCAGATAGATAGAAAGCCACTGATAGTCCCACTATACTTCTTGGCATTGGGCATGAAAAATGCTTGAGAATGCCGTTTCATTCAGATGGTGTGTTTGCATGGACACACAGCACTAAAATGATACCTTCTTTCAATGGAAGCCAGGGAGAAGCCTGAAAGAGAAGCTTTCAGTGATTTCACCCCAAGCTTAACGTTAACAAGGACCTTTTGGGGGTCACAGCTGAGAGCCCCCATGGGGTATAATATGAGGAGAAATCCTATCTAGATGACAGGGGCCCTAGTGTCATCTTAGTGTCATTCTTAGTGTCACCATGCTTATGAAGGTATGTGAGGCGACTTAAGCTAGACACCACCAAATGTCAGGGGAAGTGGGGTCAGTTATTATAGAAGCGCCAGGGGATTTCTGCATGACTTTAAACAAGTCACTTGACCTTTCCAGGTTATATTACAAATGGAGTAAGACCAACTGCCTGCAAGTTTGACAGAGGTTATGATAGGATTAGATTTTATTTATATAGATGTTTGACATATTTAGCTCCAAAGTGCTTTCCTACTAATACAATAAACATGTAAAGAGGGTCAAAGCAGAGTCCAGTGTTATTCATCTACTAATCGCTGAATGGCTTCATTTGTAGGTTATGCAAGCCATTCAGATTAAATAGTGCTTTTCATAATTTCACAAAGATTAAATAGTCTGATGGCAGTCAAGAAAGGAAAGTGTTAAGAAGTCATTTAGGCCGGGTGCAGTGGCTCACGCCTGTGATCCCAGTACTTTGGGAGGCCAAGGCAGGCAGATCACCTGAGGTCAGGAGTTTGAGACCAGCCTGGCCAGCAAGGTGAAAAGCCATCTCTACTAAAAATACAAATAATTAGCCGGGCATGATGGTGGGCACCTGTAATCCCAGTTACTCAGGAGGCTAAGGCAGGACAACTGCTTGAACTTTGGAGGCGGAGGTTGCAATGAGCCGAGATTGTGCCACTGAGCTCCAGCCTGGGTGACAAAGTGAGACTCCATCTCAAAAACAAACAAACAAAAGAAGTCATCTAGGTCCGACTTCCCTTCTCTCCCACTTGACCCCTTTACTTCAGACACAGTAGCCCAGTGAATGGGCCTGAAAAGGCTTGTGGACCAGTGCAGAGGCACGGTTCACTCAGGTCTACTCCCTGAGGACCAGGGTTCCCACCTAGCTAAATCCTATTTCTCCATCCAGCCCGAGTAGCTGCTCCTCCCTGAAGCTTCCCAGGGCAGCACAATCTGGGAAAGACTCTCTGTCCGAATTCACAGCCCTTGGTAGCCCCTTGGATTATATGCTTACTGCTGGTCTCACTGTGGTTTACCTATTATTGATTTTACATAAATATTATGCCTTTTCGCTCTCAGCATAGAGGCTGTGTCAGAGACTGAGCATCATAATTCTCTGAATTCCTCATAACATTTTCCTCAAACCTTTGCACTCAGCAGATGGTCAATACCACTCACGTGCACCCACCTCCCAAAGGTTGCACTGAGCCATTAGCAATCTGCAAAGCAGCTTCACATTCCTCGTTGTGACAAAACATCACAAGGAACACTGACCACCCCTTGCCAGTTAGTGAGGCCACTTCAGGGAACCTGTCCAAGTTAATAAGGCAGCCAGCTGGGGTGACAAAGGTGTACATTATGAATGAAAAACTCAGGGGACCTTGAGTTTCAATCCTGCCCCTATCTATCTATAGAAGTTTGGCCAACTGTTTCTATTTTTGTTACTGCATTTCAGAAAGACAGCAATAACACTAGAAGTCTGCCTCCTGAAAGTGCTAGAAATATGAAAAAATACATATGATATATAAGCATATATATATTTAATATAATTAGATAATAAAAGATAATATTTTTCTATGATTTGATACCTAACATTTCTTAAATATCAAATTGCTAGGTAAATGTTATGCAGTGGGGATGACAGCACCTTCTTTTTTTTTTTTTTTTTTTTTTTTTTGTTGGAGTCTCGCTCTGTCTACCAGGCTGGAGTGCAGTGGTGTAATCTCTTTTGCAACCTCCACCTCCCGGGTCCAAGCAATTCTCCTGCCTCAGCCTCCTTAGTAGCTAGGATTACAGGTGCACGCCACCATGCCTGGCTAATTTTTGTATTTTTAGTAGAGATGGGGTTTCACCATGTTGGTCGGGCTGGTCTCGAACTCCTAACCTCGTGATCTGCCCGCCTCAGCCTCCCAAAGTGCTGGGATTACAGGTGTGAGGATGGCAGCACCTTCTAATGAATTGTTCAGCATCTGAAATCTCCCTGGCTGGTTTAAGTGTCCCTTCTCTCACTGGCTGTCACAGGTGCATCCACGGTTTTGTTTGCTGCACCTTTTGAAATTTTAGGCCAGGTTTCCTGGAAACCTGAGCTGGAGGGAACTGTGGTAGTTCACCGTTGAGTAGACAAAGTAAGGGCAGTGCTGAGGGCACAGCTGCAGGAGGGGGAAAAATTGCTGGCTTGCCAAAATGACCTGGAGAAGGAAACAGTTGGCTTCAGGCCGCCAGGACAGAGGTTATGGTTCCAAGCTTTCTTATCCACCTCTGGGAAGGTTCATAGAATCCTGGGGGAATTTTTCCTGTTTCTGAAAGCACATCTTCAAGGTATGACTTGTCCGTCAAATCTCAACTGGAACAAGGATCTTTTCAAATCTCACTTTATTTTATAGTATGAGCTCATCATAACATTTCCTATTTTATACACATTTAATATGCATATAGAAAGCTGGATGCAGTGGCTCACGCCTATAATCCTAGCACTTTGAAAGGCTGAAGCAAGTGGATCAGTTGAGGTCAGGTGTTCTAGACCAGCCTGGCCAACATAGTGAAATCTCATCTCTACTAAAAATACAAAAATTAGCTGCGGCCAGGTGCAGTGCCTCATGCCTGTAATCCCAGCACTTTGGGAGGCCAAGGCAGGCGGATTACCTGAGGTCTGGAGTTCAAGACCAGCGAGACCAACATGGTGAAACCCTGTCTCTACTAAAAATACAAAATTGGCTGGGCGCGGTGGCTTACGCCCATAATCCCAACACT